GCCCCCAGCAGCCCCACCGCCGGCGACCGATAGTCAGGCTCGGGGCCCGGCTCGGGCAGCAAGCCCCGCATGACGTCATCCCCCGAGGCCGGCCCAGATGCACCACTCAAAAGCTCCACTTCAGGGCCCTCCGCCGGCGCCACCTGTCGCCGCTTATCGGGCTCCGGCGGCGCCGCTGCATGCCGGCCGGGGCCGGCGGCCCCGCCGGGCGCGGGGGCGGGGCCGTGGGGCGCTGGTGCTGCTGGCGGCGGCGGCGGCGGGGGCGCGGTGGGGGGGCGGCGGCGGTGGTCCTCCAGGATCGCGAGAACCTCGGAGTCCGTGGTCTGGGAGAAGTCCAGGTAGAACTGTACGACGATTGGGGTGTGGTGATCAGCGGCAGATCCGAGGTTGAATTTTAAGGCTCGGGTCGAGCGGCAGCGAGCCCATAGTACCCGACACGCCCGGCCGGCGGCTGGACCGGCGAGGGATGGCCGGGGGTCGCGTCTAGGCAAGATTCAAGGCGCGTTGCTGCCCCCGGCTGGCGGCCCACGCCTGAGTGCAGCGGCGGGCGGCGCGGGCCCCCGATGATGCCGCCCCGCGCTCGCTCCCATGCGCACCAATCTTCATCACTAGTGGCACCCCCGCGCGCACAGCAGGCCCGAGCAACACGCGCTCAACACCTCTGCAAGCTGCCCCAAGGGTCAGACTACAAGGTCAGCCGGGCAGCCGCCGCGCACCTGCCCGACCGCCCGGAATGAGGGCGGCTGCGCCAGCACCACCACCTCATCCACAATCGCGCCGTCCCCCTGCAGCCGCCGCACGGTGGACGGGCTCGCCACCGGCGCGGCGAGCAGGAGGTGCGCGGCGCCGGCGGCGCGCAGCGCGCGGCAGGCGGCCTCGGCGGTGAGGCCGGTGGCAAGGCCGTCGTCGACGACCTGGCGGTTGACGGCGGTTGGCGGCGGTTGGTGGCGGTTGGCGCCGGTTGGTGGCGGTTGGTGGCAGTTGGCGGCGGTTGGTGGTGGTTGGCGGCGGTTGGGGGCGGTTGGTGGCAGCTGGCGGCGGTTGGCGGTGGTCAGCCGGGTACAGGGGGCAGCCAGCATGGCTGTTTGGTGGGCGGTCGATTTGCTGCCTGCGTGGCATCGCATAAGAATGTGTGTTGCTGGGGTATAACTCCGCATGTGCACATGCGCCTGGTCACGAGGGCGTGTTAGGGGGAAACGCGAGTGCGATGGGCGCCCAATAGTATGGGCTAGAGCACACGAGCGAGGGCGCCGGCGAGGCCAGCCCACTGGGCTGGCACGGGGCAGCAGCCACGATCTGCTGCCTCATGGTAGCGGTTTAGTGGCTGCCTCGGCGGTTGCGCCCTTGCGCCCGGCGTGAAGAGACCCCCTCAGCAAGGTTAGTCAGGCGGGAGCAGGGTAGGGGCCAGCACAAGAGGCTGGCTTCAGGCTCGATCGGATTGGCACCAAGGGCGGGTGTGCACGCGGGCGGTGAGTGCAGAAGTCTCGCAGGCACTGCGGGGGGCCGGGGCGCGCACCACGATGGTCCTGTCGAGCAGCGGCGGCAGGGGGCGGCCCCGGCGGTACGCCTCCACCCTGGTCAGGGGCGGGTGGACAATGGGGAAGGGGGTTCACAGGTTGAGGGTGTTGCTGCGAAGAGAGCCAGCAAGGCGAACGCCGTGTGGTTCAGGTCGCACGTCAATGCAGACGGAGACGCTAGCAGGCAGCTGCCGCGCCCTGACAGGGCAGGAAACGTGCCGAGGAATTCGAAACGTGTTTCGCTGGGCTGGGCAGCTATTGGGCAGATGCCGTTCAGGGCGACGTACCAAACCGCCACACGCCCGCTTGCTCTGTGCGCTGGCCCCGTCGGTTCCTGCCCCAGGTGCACAAGACCTCTCTCCCCCCTGTCTACCTCATTGTCCCCCCTCCCTCTCATCCAACGGCAGGCGCAGCCCTCACCTCCTCTCGAGCTCCCGGGTCTCTCGCCGCACCACCTCATCCACCTCTTGCCTAGTGGCACCCACCTGGGGACAAGGTTAGTGCATTCGAGGTTGTTAGCCAAAACCCCCACGCCAGCGACCCCGAATGTGTGACAAAGCAAGGCCGGCGCCGCCGGCACAGCGCGCAGATGAAGGCCGCACAGATGCAAGCAGCAGCGCTCCGCCACTCCCGAGCTGGCAGGCAGGGGCCAGCGCGCGCCCGCCGCACCCAGAGAGGGCCCAAATTATAGGGCCCAACTGTCAAAACCGCGAGCTGCCAGTCACGGACGCCGCCAACTTCCATGTGCATGGTCAAAATTTATGCTTGCATGCGCGTGATGCTCCTTGCCCGTGCGCGTGTGCGTGCATGTGGGGTGAGGGGCGCCTGCGCCCGCCCACCATGGCCGCCGCGTCCTCATCCAAACAGATGGTGCCGCCCTCGGCCAGAGCGCCGATCGCGTATTCAGGGTGGATAGGGGCCCCGATTTTTCGCACAACAAGGACCTGAAAATGGGTGGAGGGGGGGGGTGCATTGATTACCGCGAACAAGGTGTCGGCCGATCCGAGGCGTCATATGTGATCTGGGCCGCGGCAGCGTTGACCAAGGCGCTGGCGGTGGGTCAAGGGTCGAGGGCAGATGTACGGGGGCAGTACAAGGGCGCGGCGGCGCGGCGGCGCGGCGGGCGCACCTCCAGCTGTGCGCCGAGTATCCGCGCGACCGCGTCGCCGACGGGCACGCCGCCACGAGGCAGCGCGATGACCAAAGGGTCGCGAACCGGCGGATCGCGCGCCGCCAGCGCGCCGCCTAGTCGCCGCCCCGCATCGGCGCGATCGGAGAAGAGCATACTCACGCCGTCTGCGCGCTGTCGCAGCAGCGCGAGGGCGTGCGCGGCCGCGCGGCGGCACCAAGACGCGAGCGGCGGCGTGGGCGGGGCCGCGGCGGCGAGCGGCGGCACGCGGCGGGCGCTCGGATACTGCGCCAGGGGTGGATTTTTGGCGCAAGGCACGCCAATCGGCCACAGAGGTGCTTCCGAAGTGATGAAGGTCCGATGAATACCCTTATACAAGCCAGCTATGACTAAGGCACGCTTTTGCCGCGGTTCCGGATGCAACAGTCTCCGTTGTCGACACACCAGCCAACCGCTGGAGGTTGGTGACATGAAAGCGATACAAGAACTGCGTACTGCAATTGCTCGATCCCCCGGATTCGCTGGCTAAGGAGCCATGACGCTGTTGCCCGTCATGGAGTGCCGAGTCACCCTGCCAGGTCCCCCCTGCCTGGCCGCTTCTCCACTCGCCCTCGATAGTTCATTTGCTGTCAGAGTAGTTCCAAAACACATATCCGCGCTCCAGTCTGCTGGTGCGCATCTCCACGCAGGATCTAGAGGCCAGCTGTGTCACGAGGGCCTTCAACGCCTTTCCTGGGCCACCGGCCCTGCCGCATATCCGTCAGATCATGAAAATGAGGGTCCTGATCGCCCTCAGCGTGCTGGTCGTGCTCGCGGCATCGGCGCACGCCGCCGAACCTCGCCCTGGGGCGGCCCCGGCGCCCGGCCCAGGCTGTTCCATGCTCAAGGACAAGCACTCCTGCAAGGACAGGTGCGACAATTGCATTATCACTGCTTGCACCGGCCCTGCACGCCGATCCGACCGTTTGCGCCGCACGCCCGAGTCATCGCCGCTGGCGCACACCTGGCGCATGTGCGCGGCGTGCAGTGACGCGCAAACCATGGGAACGTGGCCCCACACCTCGTGCCCACTGCTGCACCCCCCCTGGTTACTTTCGCAGCAAGGATGGCTGCACCTGGTGCGAGAGCAGCTTCTCCTCCGCCTGCTACAGCGAGGTGCGCCGCGCGAGCCGCCGCGGCCGGGCACCTGCCGCACAGCCGCCGCCGCCGCCCCATCTTGCCGGTCAGCGCCCCTCGTGTTCCTCCGCTTCTGCGCGCCCTGCCATGCGCTGGCGGCCGCTGCCGTGCGCCTCTGACCTCCCTGCATGCAAGCATGACCTGGAATGTAACCCCCCACGTGGCCTTGTTCCCGTATTATTCACCCATGTTACCCACAACAGGACCAGGCCAAGTACCTGCCGTCCCAGTTCTTCCACTGCAAGCCGAAGCCTTCTGCCATTTCAGAGGAGGTTGCTCCTACACAGGCCGAGCTTGCCAAGAAGGGCAAGGGCGGCGACAAGAAGGCCGACTGCCGGGACCTGAAGGACCGCAAGGACTGCGTGAGGGCCAGGGCCGTGTGCAGCTGGTGCAAGGGGAGCTTCGCGCCCGACATGTGCCTGGACGAGGTGAGGGGGGGGAGGCTGCCTTGGGGGGGCTGCCGGGTTGCAGCTGCTCTGGGCTGCCAGGGCCTGGGATTGCTGACAGCGGCAGCCAGCACGCCGTCCCTGGATGCTGTTTTTGATTCTGCGCGGCGCTTGCATATGCAGCTGCAGCTCGCCCCGCCGCACTGCGCCCCCACCCGTGTCGCATCCCCCGATGGGTACTATGTTGGGCTCCAACCATGGCCGCCCCCACTGTGGATGGCCCCTCAGACCCCCCTTATTCAACGCCCCTGATTTCACACTGATAGGACCAGGCCAAGTACCTGCCCCCCATGGTGTTCGACTGCGAGAAGAGCCGCCGCTCCAAGGACGACGATGACGAGGTTGATGTTTCCGAGGTTGCGACGTCCCTCGACAGCAAGAAGCACAAGAAGCACGATGACGACGACAAGCCCGGCTGCAGGGACCTGAAGGACCGCAAGCACTGCATCAAGTCCAAGGCGGTGTGCGGCTGGTGCGAGAGCAAGATCGGGCCCGACCTGTGCTTGTCAGAGGTGGGTTGGTTGGCTGGGTTAGTGCCCGGGGGCTCGTGCTGCTGCATGCTAGGGCTTGTAGTTGCTAGCTATGCGTGGGTACGCTGGATCGGATGCTTTCCATGTGCGAGTGCATGCATGCGCGCTGGGACGTTTTGCGCACGGCTGTGCACGCGCACAAGGGTTTGGTTTGCGTGCTCCACCGCCTGGCGCGCCGCACGGCTTACCGCCCCTGCCCCATCAGGCTCACCCATCCCCAAGCCCTGTTTCACCCCCTTCCTACCCAAGCCTCAACCACCCCGCTCAAGCCTCAACCACCCCGCTTTCCTGCAACCAACCATGTCACGATGGCAGACCGCGGCCAAGCTGATGCCCCCCATCGTGTACAAGTGCGAGGAGAGCCGCGTCAAGCCCGACCCCGACACCCTCGCTCTGAAGGGCGGCGAGCAGCCCGAGCAGCCTGAGCAGCCGGAGCAGCCCGAGCAGGGCGACGCTGACAAGGACGCTGACGAGGACGACGACGCTGCGCAGCCCGAGGTGGCCAAGAAGAGCCACAAGAAGCACAAGAAGCACGACGACGATGATGATGACAAGAAGGCTGACTGCCGGGACCTGAAGGACCGCAAGGACTGCGTGAAGGCCAAGGCCGTGTGCAGCTGGTGCAAGGGCACCTTCGCGCCAGACATGTGCCTGCAGGAGGTGGGTCAAGCGGGGGTGCTGTGCCATCTCGTGCACACCGTGTGCACACCGTGTAGGCCAAGGGGCTTGTCGGGGCCCCCAGGTCTGCAGCCGCTGCGTATGTGGGCTTGTCGAGGCTCGCTGTGCAGTGCATTGCTCGCAGGCTGCCACCTGTTGCGTTTGACCACACCCAACCACATCTTGCCTGCTCGCCTTCCACAGCGGCACTCACCAATCAAATGGTGCCTTCCGCGCCGCCCTCTGCCCCTACGCAACATCCTCAGGACCAGGCGAGGTATTTGCCTCCCTTTGTCTTTGACTGCGAGAAGAGCCGCCGCTCCAAGGACGACGACGGCGATGAGGTGACCCTTGCTGAGTGTATCAATTGTTAGCATCTTGTGCACTCGGGCCTGTTCGGCTGTGTTTACAAGGCATGCTCATCACCAGTCTGTCTGTCGGCGATGATGGAATTTTGGGCAGTTGCGCGAGATTTCTGGACAGTTTGGGGCGTTTCACGCTCTGCCTCCCAACTCAAATTTCTGCACCCTGTTTTCCTGTATCAGCCACAGCTGACCTTCCAGCAGAACTCTTGCTTGGAATACCCAGTTTCTAGAAACTGACACCTGAGGCACCACCTGCCCACACGCCCGATGCGTCTCTTCTATCACTGCTGCTCACGGCCATGCAACCCCCGCTATCCTTTTCCCAGGACGCTGTCGCTGCCGACGCCGAGGACGCCGACGCTGACGAGGACGATGACAACGACGACGACGACGTTCTCGCTGACCTGTCGCGCAGCCGCAAGCACCACAAGGCCCACCACGAGGGCAAGGGCAAGAAGCACCGCCACACGGACAAGAAGCACCGCAAGAAGCATGATGACGACGACAAGAAGAAGAAGAAGACCGACTGCCGGGACCTGAAGGACCGCAAGGACTGCGTGAAGGCCAGGGCCGTGTGCAGCTGGTGCAAGGGCACCTTCGCGCCAGACATGTGCCTGGACGAGGTGCGGAGGGGTGGGCACGTTGGCTGCATATCGCAAGCATGGGTGCGGCATGCTATCCTGGAGCTCTGGGCGGTCCCCCTGGGGGCATGGGTAAAGCTTGGATGGTGATGAAACGATCAGCGGCTAGGGGCGTGTGTGGAGAGGGGTGTTGAACATCCGCTTTTTACCGGGGTGCGGTTGCTGGGGCAGGCACATCCGCTGGCCTGATCCATATGTTTGGAGAGCGCATCTTGCGCCTCGCCGCCGAACCTCTCTGATCTCAAGCTCAGAACCGCAGAAAGCGCCACGCCGCTAAAACATTCAAACACGGCGCCTCACGTACCGCCGCGCACCTCTTAAACACGGCGCAACAGGCCCAGGCCAAATACCTGCCGCCCTTCGTGTTCAGCTGCGAGGCAAGCCGCCGCTCCAAGGACGACGCCGACGATGATGTCACCACCGCCGCCGTCGACGAGACCAAGGGTTGGGTCGCCACCGTGGTCGACGCGATCACGGCCCCCTTCTCCGCCCCCGAGCCCGGCCCGTCCGACCCCTGCACTGACTACGAGAGTGCCAAGAAGTGCGGCAGGCACGACGGCTGCACGTGGTGCGAGGGCAAGTGGGCCGCGGGCCAGTGCTTCAGCGAGGTGGGTGGTTGGTGGGTGGGCCCGGGGTCGTCGGGGACGCGGCGCGCTTGAGCAGGGCGGCGTTCTGTTCTGGTGGCGGGTCGAGGCGGGGTTTTTTGGGGCATGGGTGGTTAGTATTGTGCAGCAGCCGTGGGTCCACCTAGTGTGCATAAATGCACCCTCTTCAGGCTGCAGGCAGACCTCTTCAGGAACACATGCAGTTCTGAAGCGACAACCCGTTTGCTTTTCCATCCACCAAACCTGTCTGTATTGAGTCAGTCTGACAAACCCCATCACTTTCTGTGACTGGGCACCCGCAGGAGCGCGCCAAGTACCTGCCCTCCTCCTTCTTCAAGTGCGATGTTTCCAAGGTTGCAGCCTCATAAAGCCTTTCGCAGGCGCCGCGGATCACATTGACTGATCTGGCGGGTCGTGCACATGATGTGGGCCCTTGGCGGGCTGATCACAGCCGCCACCTTTTTTGAGTGTCAGGGTTGTATACCGAGCTCCTCAGCTTGTGTGCTGCCCCCCGCCTTGAGTGCATGCGGATCCGGTGGTGGGCTTGCCTGCTCTCGCGGTCGCGGCGGCACGTCGCGGCGCCGCAAGTGGGTGGCGGGCCCAACCGTCTCATCCCCTCGCTTGAGGCGTGTTGCGTGCTCGTTAGCAGGGCTGCATTTGACGCGTGCGCGTGTCCGCTGCGCCGTAATCAAGATAGCCTAAACGAGCACAACGGCGACCCCTTTTTTCGTGCGTGCTTCCTGCCGCACCCCAGCTGTGAACGGCTGCCATCTGGTGTTGCATGGGCTATTGGCGGCAGTTGCCAAGGTTGCGGCCAAACAGCGTGTGCACAGTCAGTGCTGCAATCCCGTTGCCTGGGGGCAAACAACGCCCCGGTGCGTTGCCGTCATATGTACAGGCGCCCCACACTGCACGCGCGAGGCCGCCAGCACAACGCATCGCTGGCGTGCAAACCTGATCTGATGCACGCCGTCCTTCCGCTGCCCCGCGAGACATTTCCACGCGCTCGCGTTGCCCGCGGCCACCGCCCGATCGTCGACTCTCCCCACCCCGTCGCCCATTTTCCTGCAATTTTGGTATTGCCGCGCCTGCAAGCCCAGGCTGCCGCTACGCGCATGTCATGCGCCTGCCGCGCGCCGCCCTGGGTTCGCTGGCGGGCGCCGTCTCGGCGCCCTTACCCCCGGCCAACAGTGCCGCGCTCCCTGTAAGGGTGATAGGGGCGCCCCCCCTCACACCTCACAGGTTTGTTTGTCCCCTTGATTAGTACCATCTGGCATTGAGCTTTTCTTGATCAGCCTTTTGCTTGATCAGGCCACCTGCAATTGTAAAACCAAACTTTATGGAAGCTGCCACGCGGCTGCTGCTGCCGCACATGAGCGTCGTCAGCTGCTGTATCTTACAGAATGCAATGGCATTTGCAAGGAGCCAATTCGGTCTGGCAGCTGCCTGGTAGCCAGGGGATGCACCTTGTCCGCTCCACAAGGCAAATCCTGCAACATGCTTGCTTGCCGCCACCACTGCTGCTGCTGCTGCTGCTGCTCGTGGCACGCATCAAAAAACAAAAAGATACTCTGGTCGGGCTCCTGCCGCAGGGCTTGCCATTCATCGCACAGAGCGACCCCGAAGTTCCGAGCAGAAAAACAAAACAGCACGCCGGGCGCGTCACTTGCCAGCCACGCCCGCGTCGAACGAGGCGGCCACGCCGCGCAGCGTCTCGATGGCATCCTGCGTGGCGCCGTCGTCGCCGCAGCCGTCCTTCTCGCACTTGAACTGGCCATTGAGGATGTAGAGCTTGGAGCCTGGCCGGGGAGGGGCGGGGGTTGGGGGTTCTGAATCAGCACAGTCCATGCAGGGTTTGAGCGTGCCGCGGGCTCCCGCTCTGGCTGTCCTGCCGGCTTACTTACAGCACGGCGCCCCAAGCGCTGAAAGCAGACACGCCCTCGAAAGCGAGCGCCCGATGCACCGGTGATGCCGACCGTTGACTGGCACACTAAGACAGGCCGCCGCGGCGCGGGCCCTGGAAAGCCGGCGCCCCACCCACCTGTGATGCTGACTGTGTTGACAATGCGCTTGCGTCCCCGCGTGCTGCTCAGCTCGTACTCGTAGTCGTACAGCAGCGCGCCGCCGCCGCCGGTGCGCTGCGACTCGGAGAGCAGCCGGACATCTAGGGTGCTCTCCTGCGGGGACGCACGGGCGCGGCGCAGCTCGGGATGGATAATGTTGGAATACCTGGAAGCTGCTTGTGGGGCCTCTTGGCTTCAAACAAGGTGGCAATAATGGATAGACAGCCATGCTCAAAGGGGCCGCCCTGCAGCCGGGCACCCCTGGAAGGAAAGCACGCGTCGGCGAGGTGCAGCACAGGAACGTCCTCCTCAACCAACAGGCAAAAGACAGGATGGGACACAGCCGAGGGCGCAGGCATTGGGTGCTAGGGCTGGCAAAGTTGGCGCGGATGGGTTGGGGTGGGGTTGGGAAGCGAGGGGGGCGCGCCTTTTGGGCTTCTGTCTCCAGCAGCCGCCGCCCGACAGCTTCAAGGGAGCCGAACTTTTCGATGCTCTCGACTCGCACTGGGCTGACGGTGACGCCGACGCTGGTTGACCTGTTTGTGTGGGGCCGTGCGTGCACGTGCGCGCGTGTGTGTATGTGGGGGGATGTGTGCGGGCATGTGTGTGTGCGTGCGTGCATGTGCACATGGATTGGTTGTCGGCTCAAGAACGGTTGCTTTCACGCACAAATGCCGCACTGACATAGCTGAAGCCCGCGCGCGGCAGAGTGCTCAATCTCTGGTGGCCATTCCCAGCGCGGGCCAGGTGCACCCGCTGAGATGTGACGTCATTAATCAAAGAGGCGGCGCCGAGCTCGCCCGATCCTGGCTGTTGGGTGGCGTGGTGCTCGCAACAGAGCCGGCCTCTCAGTCAAGCCCACAAGGGCGGTACCCATCCGCTTGTTCAGATCAAACTCTCCGCTGAGCCAACCCCTCTAGTCCGCTCACCGCCTCGCGGGGTCCTCAAACAGAATGTCGGCCCCAGCCTTGTCCTTCCTGTCCCACCCCTTGGGCACCGCCAGGCTGTACCGCTGCCCCTCATTAACATATGGGGCGAGCTCCTCCGCCGCCGCCGCGGGAGACGGGCCAACCAACAGAGCTGCCGCGGCGAGGCTGCCGCAGGCGAATGCCGCTGCCGCCGCTGCGCGCCATGACCGAGGCTCAGAAGTTTGCGGTGCTGCAGCTCGAGCTGCTGCTGCGCTTGGTTCAGAAAGCCGTGCTGCTGCAGCTGTGAAGCTCAATTTTCTGCATTCAATGCGGCATCGCATGCACTGTCTGGAAGGCGCGAATGGCTGTTTACGGAGTGTGAGCCCCAAATGGGCAGATCGCCCAGCGCAGATCTGCGGGCTCATCGCAGTAAAGGAAGACTACGGTAGCTGAGAATTATGGGTCCGTGAGTGATTGGATGAATGCAGAGTATGGCTGCACACGCCTTACAAATCACGGCACCTGTACGCATGCTGAATCAGCAACCAAGGCTCAATGACAATGGCGGCCTTGGCTCTTCGCTGCCATCCTGACTTCAAAATTCCTGCGTGCATATGCTGCCATGGCACCAACATGACTGCATGCAACACACAGCTTGCCTGCAAACCACGCGGCCAGCACACGCAACAAACTGCTCAAAACGCTTGGTCAGGAGGGTGGCGCCTGCGCTGGTCTTGCACACAACCGCGCGACGCCGCTCGCCACCATGGCTGCGGGCTGCCGCCTGATCGGATCATATTCCCTCCAGCATCTCAGGGACGTTTACAAGTGCTCTCAAACATTGGCGACAAGAATGCGAGGGGCAGCGACTGGGACCCAAGCCTCAGCATGTAAGGGGGGGATTACGGGTACACCGCATGCTGTTTTGAGATTGCTAGAAGCTTCCTGTCCGCCATCAACAAAGGACCAGCGGCCGTGCCAGTGGGGGGCAGCACCAGCTGGACGGGGTAAGCACGCGCCAAACAAAACGCAGCGGTTGGGGGCACGCAGGTGCAGCAGGAAAACGCGACCATCAGAGTCTCACGAAACGCTCCAGGGAAGGGTATTTGGGATGGGGATGGAGGGGAGGGGGGGCACAGCAAGACCGGCCCGGCGCAAGGCACCTTTTGGCGGGAAGCCACCAGGCAGCAGCTTTGGGCCGGGCAGAGCATGGGATGCTTGGGGTGGACCGCAGCCGGCTGGGTCGGACGACGTTGGTTTGCTCCGAAAACATAAGGCGGGGGCGCACGGGTGACCTCAAGACAGCGGATCATCAAGCTTTGGCAACGGGGCCACACTCACTGGCTTTCGCGCTGCACACGCAGCGCCAAAATGGGGGACATGGTGACGGCACAGCATTTGTAAGCGATCTGCCCATAGGGGGTCAGGTTGTGCACAAACAAAGCAGCAGAAGCTACACAGCCGCCACAGCGGAACACCTGGACGCGGCACAACACCTGGAAACGGCCCGCGACAAGGACAGGACTCGAAGCCCCGCCAAGCCCGCAAGGCGGCCCGGGCAAAGCAAACTGATGCACCCAGGAGGACGGGCGCCTGGGCGGCGCCGCGCCGCTGCTCCTGTCGGCGGCGCCGCGGGCGCCGGCCGGCGGCTGAGCCGCCGCCGCAGAGGCCGCAGGCGTCGCGCTGGGCTCAGGGGCGGCTGCAATGATGTTCATGCGCATGCGCGCGTGCGGCCGCAGCGCGCCCAGGCTCGCGCTCGCGCGGGGCCCGCGGGAGCGGGGCGCTCCATGTTTTCTTAGTCAACCTGGATGACGCGGCGTAGCTGTGGTGTATTTTTGTGTGTTGAGTGTCGTGTGCGCGCGGAGAGACCTGGCCTATTGTGTTTCGCGTCTCAAAGCCTGGAAAACCAAACAGCGGCGGAGCGCCCGGCGGGCGAGCGGGCAGGGGGAGTGTGGGCGGCAAAATGCATAAACAAACTGGGGCAGGCGCGCGTGCGTAAAGGGGGGGACGAGCGGGGAGAGGGTTCGGGGGCAAAGGGCGGCCGCGGCCGCGGCCGTTCAGGGGATGTGAAGCAGGAGAGGGGTCGCCGTGCCGAGCAGGAACGCGCCCGAGGGCCTGTCCTGAAAAACCGCGCTCGCGTGGTGGCTGGTGAGCACGTGCCGCACGCGGCCTCGGTCCTCTTCGTCCCCCCACACGCGCATTGACACGCCCGACC